TTCGCCGGAGATGGAGACAGATTTCGTCGGAGATGGGGACGGATGCCGCCATAGAGAGTGAGAGATGGAGATGGGGCTGAGTTGTGATTTAGGGTTTTAGGTTATGATTTGCGATTATACTGTTTACATTTGTGTTGCTAAATTAATATTGTGTTTCGATTTCGAAAATAAAATTCGAGTTGCGAAAATAAACGCGCTTTGCAAATTTGACTTTTGTGTTGCAAATTTGACTTTTGTGTTGCGAATTACAAATTCGCGTTGCGATTTACAGATTCGCGTTGCGAATTTGGAAATTGAGTTGTGAAATTGGAGTTCGCGTTGCGAATTTGTTGGTCATTTTCGTAAATCCAAAAAAATGATTAAAATCGTATATTATAAGACATTTTCGATCACTGAAGTTATTTTCTCTTTTAAAATTTTTATTTTTTATTTTTTATAATTTTTTTAATTATATTCACTCTAAAATTTTATTTATCTTCATTTTATATTAAAATTTATATATATCCAACTCAAAAATATTTTCGAGTCTGTTGCTTCAAGATAGGATGATTGGGCCTTATTTGGGATTGAGATTGAAGTAATGTGGTTAAATGGTCTTACTGAGTGCCCTTGATATGCTTGGGGTGTCCTATAAAAGTTGCTCTTATTCCCCATTTGGGCCTTTAATTGACAATATTGGCTTTACTATGGTTGTTTGAGCCGAAATCTGGACCAATGCTACTTCAACACACACTCGGTTCTCAGCTTTAGAATTATTGTTTAAGGTCATATATTATATACCTAATCTCTATTATTTGCATGTGCACATTGCTGTGATCTTTATTATCGGCTAGTTGGACTGGTTGGGGTTCACCGACTCCTCCCTCACGATGGATAAGTTTACAAGGACATGTGTCCTACAATTTGACAGTGGGATCTTGTTTTCTACCTTAATCCATGGATCAATGCCTCCATTATTTGTTTACGTTCGGATTGTAAAAATATATAATTATAATCGGAGTAACTTTTTGATAGGACATACATTTTCTTTATTGTTTATATATAAGATAATTATTTGATTAATAGATGGGAACGTAAACAAAAGTATTCGATGATTACATAGAAACTTTGCATAAATGACGATCTAATCAATCATTTATGTTAATAACATTAGGGTAATGTACACAAATCGTCCCGATCGTAAGATATTGTTTTATTAAGTCTCTTGACTATTAAAAGTGGTCTTCTGATTATAGAAAAGTGTTTGGTTGAGTCCCTCGACTATTAAAAGTTACAAAATGGTCACTCGATTATTTATTATGTTTCAAACTCATCATTTTCCATTAAAAATTAACGTCTGTTTGAGCTGAACGTTAACATGCTAACTGAGATACGATAGTCATTTGAGATTATAATATCATATTTTATCATATCTCAGTCAGCAAGTTATCGTATAACTTAGACAATCGTTAATTTTTTTAATGGAAAATGACACATTTTGAACATAATAAATAGCCAGATGATCATTTTGTAACTTTTAATAGTCGAGTGATTTAACAAAGTAACTCCCTATAATCAAGATCATTTTATAACTTTTAATAATCAAATGACTTAATAAAACGATATCCTATAATCACATAACCATTTGTGTACTTTTCCCTATGTATTAATAGACAATTTGATTGCTAAAACTTTAATAAAAAAAAGCTTTATGTTATGTATCTATCTTATAAATTTAGAAAGGTAAGAGGGGGAACAATCAATGCAAGTCAAGTGTTCAATGGACCAAATCTTCATCTTAGGGGTGTGCTCTACATTTCCATAATTGTCCTTTTATTTGTTTATTATTATCATTCCATTCAATAATATGAGCAAAACGTATATTATTTTTTATAAAATAAAGAATCGGAAATCTTTAAAGGACCGAATCCAATGTTGCAGATCATACTGTGTAGGTGCCACTTAGCCTATAAGAAAGCTACTGTACAAGAAATGTGTGATTCATGATAGAGGGCATGCAATTGACACGTGTTATTTGATGTTTTAAGATAATATATAATCTCATTCATACCTGCCTGTCTCGTAAATGGCATGCAAGCATGTGTTGCCATTAGTCACTCAGATTATCCTTTTCCTTTTGCAGTAACTTCAACAGGTTGAAACTAAATTTGATTTATTTACTAATTAATTCAGATTCTTTGACGTGGTTTTTTATTTCAAAGTTATTGATTTATTAAAAAATTATAAAATAATCATTTCACTATTCGTTATGTTCTAAATTTGTCCTTTTTTTTAAAAAAAAATGATGGTAATTTGAGTTAGACGATAACTTGTTGATTGATATATGATATAATTTTATCTCAGAATCTCAAACGGCTATCATATTTCAGTTAGTAGGTTAACACTCACCTCAAACTGCTATCAATTTTTAACGAAAAGGGACGATTTTAGAACACAATGAATAGTCTAATAATCATTTTGTAATCAATATATAATGTAAATAACTCGTTCTCTAAAATTAGCTTTATTATTTACATTACTAACAAACGTGACATATAATATATTTTTATTAAATGTTAAAAAATATAAATTTATAAAATAAATGGAGAAAGTAAGCATAATCGACCATAAGGAGAGCGTCTTGAACGATTACTCAAGCCTCCTTCTTTCTACTTTTATTTCTATAGTTAAAGATTCTTAATTTTTTTAATTTTATAAAATAGTTTATACTTTCTGTTTTTATAATTGAGAGACTCTATAATCTAATATTTTTATATGATTTATTAATATAGTATTAAAATAATTATTTAATATAACATAATATATTTTCATTTTATAGAGTCTATTTTTTAATTTTTTTGCTTAAGATTTATAACTAAGGATTCTTAATTTTTTAATTTTATATAATAATTTATACTTTTTATCTTTATAATTGAGGATCATAATTTAATTATTTTTTATAATTTATCAATATAATATTAAATTCATTATTCAAAATAACATAATATATTTTTGTTCTATAAGACTTATTTTTTAGTTTTTACTCAAAGTTTGTCCCTAAGTTTTTTCCAATTTTATAAAATAATCTCAATTTTTTTTGTTCTCATTACAGTTCCAAGGTTTCGTCATGGTCAATTCGTACCGACCCACATCGCACGCTTATCATTGGTGGGTGAGTCTCCCAGTATGGTTTTTTGCATATACAATGATTCAAACTTGCTTAAGCAAAATCAAATTGTTTATCACTTGAACCAACTATTTTATATCTTTATAACTCGGTGTCTATAATTTAATCATTTTTCTATAATTTATTAATATGTTATTAAATTAATTATTTTAAATCATGAAATATATATTTATTCTATATAGTCTAGTTTTATATCTTCATTCAGGATCTTGAAAATGTTTGAGACATTTTTGAGCGTAAACAGTAATCAATGGTGTAAAAGGAAGAAGATGGTGTAAAAGGAAGAAGATGGTGTGATCGTAGGATGAAAGGCAAGCAAAGGTGATGGGCGAGCCACGGAGAGGCTTTAGTCGTCTTTTACTGGCAACACTCTGTCCATCACGACTCTTTGACCAATGAGTGTAGTCAAAAAGGCAAAACACAAAAGTTTTTTATTTAAACACACACACGCGGCACTTGCTGGGACCAATAATCATCACAAAGGTAGAGGAATCCCTTCCATGGGTTCGCCTTGCTTTAGCTTTCCATCTGTATCGTTGGAGTGGCGAAGATGTTCATTCTAGAGATGAACTTATGCTCCAATTCATCGCTATTTTCTAGTTACATTGTGGTAATAGTTATAGTACACGCTATAATTGACGTTGTATTGTAACTGTGTTATATTTTTTATGATAATTTTGTTGATTTTTGATTTTTGTTATTATATATAGAGATAATGCTGAAGATGAATTACTGTTTTATCTTTAGAATAGAGATAGAGATACTATATAATAGAGATGAGGGCTGAAGATACCTAATAACATTAAAAAAAATAAACAGAGACAATTGAAAGACGATAAAAAAGAATTATGATTAAGAAAAAGAATAAGATTAACATTTAAAAAAAACAAAAATAAAAAGCACAAAACACAATGTTTTGCGATGACGTTAAACTTAACTATTGAATTATTAAAATTAGTAAATTTCAAAATTTTAATTATAAAATTAAAACTTTTGAAGTTAAATGTCTAAACCAGAGACACATACAAAGTTGAGAGATTAAAAACATAATTTACCCAAAAGTTATTACAACGTATGATTGATTTAAAACTTTAAAATATCCAGACCTAGACCGCACTAAATATGGACATAACCCAAGCATTGTAGAACTTAAAATAAAACCAACATAAATTAGAATAAAGGTAGATAGAATAAATTTATGGTGTGACTTAAACGATAATAAATTATCATGAAATACCATTAGATTGATACTCAATATAATTTAAATTAAAACCAATCATTATAAAATATAGCCAAATTAATGTTTGAATATATATATATATATATATATATATAATTTAAAATAAATTAAAATATAAATGACAAATAATAAAACTTAAATTAAAATATATCAAAGTCTGAACATAAATGAATATACATCAACCTCATAGTGACTTGAAACCAAAAGTAAATTTTGAAAGAGGGCTATAGTTTTATAAAGGTGTGACTCAAACATAAAATCTCACTTTTAAATACTCTAATTTTTTTTTGATAAATTTTAAATTTAATCATAATATATTTAAAAGAAAAAAAACTTTAAAAAGATAAGTATTTTTAATGAATTTAAAATTCATGATCTTATAAAATGTAAGAAAATAAAGAAATAATTTAATTTATCGATCAAATATGTTTCCTTATAGAATAATTATGGTATAGTATATATATGTAAACACATTTTATACATATATTTTCTAAATCATACGTGCGATTTTGTAAATATAATAAGTGTAGCACTTGTTAAATAATAGAGGTTTGACGTAGGAGAAGGAGAGAGAAACCGCCGAATGAACCTATGAAAACGCTTCCACTTGCATTGCTAAGCTGATCCATCACATACTGCAAACACTCACTCGTCTTCTTCCATGGACTATCAAAATTAAATTTTGTTAGCGCAGCTCCCACTCCACCTTGCCTCTATCAGAAACAAAGAACCTCGATTCTCGTGCGACCTCTTCTCTTCTCTTTCCTTCACTTCCACCTCTCTCTCTTTTTAGCTTTAATAAATCTCAAACACTCCTGTATATATGTGTCATGTTCCTCTCACTTCTCTCTTATTCTCTTTCTCTCGGTAATTTGTTCAATCTTCAACAGGCAACTTCTGGTTAAGCTAAACCCCCAAGTTTTTTTTATGGATATGAACATGGGGAACCACAGCAACACCGGTTCTTTTTCTACTCAGAATTGGCTCGCTTTCTCTCTTTCCAACTTTGAACAACATCAAGGTGCAGGTGCAGGTGCAGGCACGACCGTGTTCGATAAAGCCCCGAGGCTCGAGGATTTTCTTGGCGGTTCCTCCACCGTATCCGGCGCTGGTACTGCACCCGTGGACGTGACTGTCCCCCACAACGAGATATATGACTCCGAGCTTAAAACCATAGCTGCTAGCTTCCTTCGAGGGTTTTCATCTGAAAATAAACCACAACAGGCGGTGCCGACGGCTGAGCCGGCACCGAGAAAAACTACTGATAGTTTCGGCCAACGTACATCTATCTACAGAGGAGTCACCAGGTAAATAACCAAATCATACGATACAAATTACAAAGTACAACCATGGAATATAGTTTACCAAAATTTATTAATTTTCGTTTCCATTTTTTTGGTTTGGGTTGATTTATTAGACATAGATGGACCGGAAGATATGAAGCTCACCTATGGGACAATAGTTGCAGAAGAGAAGGCCAAAGTAGGAAAGGAAGGCAAGGTAAATAATAACAAGTTCTTGATATCAATCTTGAAATATTTTGAGAATATGATATTTTATATGAATCGTCGATGATTCTAATATTTTGACATCTTACACGACGATTAACGAATGATTGCCGCCATGGATGGATGCTCGAATCGTTTCATCATTGTTTTCTTTTAGTTTATCTGGGTGAGTTTCCGGTTCTAACCACACTATAATTAAACATCATCGTTTTCTTTTTGTTTTTTCACGTACTGTGACAATAATTACTCGAGAGTTTGAACTTCTGTTGGTTTGCATGGATAACATAGATTCTCATCATAATCACTTAATTTGGTTCCCTTTTTTTTATATAATTAGGTGGGTATGACAAGGAAGATAAAGCAGCAAGAGCTTATGATCTTGCAGCTCTAAAGTACTGGGGTCCGACCACCACTACAAACTTCCCGGTAAACACTACCGTTTCTCCGATCTCGACTCGAAATCATCATTCACTTCTTGGATCTTATACCGAAAATTTTATCCTGTTTCTTCAGATTTCTAACTACGAGAAGGAACTAGAAGAGATGAAGAACATGGCCAGGCAAGAGTTTGTTGCTTCACTACGAAGGCAAGTAAATATTAACTTGTGTATACATACGTATTTTAATAATGATTTTGCATCAGCAAAAAGACTAAGCTTTCTTTTTGGTTAAATTTGATTTTCCCAGGAAAAGCAGTGGATTTTCTAGGGGTACCTCGATCTACAGAGGGGTCACAAGGTTCTTTATTTATTATATATACTGAATTATTATTCATTTTAAAGTAGATTTTAATATGTTTTGCTTTTATATTTCAGGCATCATCAACATGGGAGGTGGCAGGCAAGAATTGGAAGAGTTGCAGGAAACAAAGATCTCTACCTGGGCACATTTAGTGAGTGATTTTTTATTTCCTTTTGTTTGTTTATTAACTAATTTATGTTATTTTCTCAAGAAATTGTTTTGCAGCCACCCAAGTAGAGGCAGCTGAGGCCTATGATATTGCTGCAATCAAGTTCCGGGGGTTAAATGCAGTGACGAACTTCGACATGAGCCGGTATAACGTAAAAAGCATCGCCAACAGTAATCTTCCCATCGGTGGCCTTAGCGGCAAATCCAAGGCTTCCGATGCTAAGATCACCTCGGTCACCGACAACGACAACAGAGATCTCTCTTCTGCTGCAGGCTCCAATCTCAGCAGCTTTGCAGTTCCCATCAAGCAAGACCATTCCGATTATTGGTCGAATATCTTCGGAAACGGCATCGGTACAACAAGGCACCCTAGTGTCACAGTTGCACCAACTAGCATGTTACAAACTCCGGCCAGCTTCGGTTTCGATTACGGATTGAATTCGGCAGTCACCGAGAGCATCAACAACAGAGGTGATTACAATGTTAGTTCATCGACTGTATTCGCTACACCGCTCGTAATAAACAACAATGGCAACGGCATCAACCATAGCTGGGACATTGCGCAGCCATTGCATTCTTATCAGACTGCAAAGCCAAGCCTCTCAGTGTTTCAGACGCCAATATTTGGCATGGAATGAGCTCACAGACAAGAATTACAGCTGGTGGGAGTGGTGTAATTTTTTTCTGTTTTACTTCGAATAGGTGAAGTGGACTGACAAAGGATAGAAATTCCCAGGAGCTGACACTACTAACTTGGAGTTGTTTTTGTTTTTAGGGTATGTATTTGGAGGTATAAAGGAAAAAGGAGAACCCTTTTCTCTACTGTTAAGTCATCGTAGGCTATTTCTCTTGCTCTGAATTCAACCAAAATTATATCTACGTTGACAATAAATTATAAAAATTCTAAATAAATATTATTTTATAATGGATACTATTAAAAAAACAATTTTAAATTGGATGATGGGTGTCCTTGTAGTGTGCACCTTTCGGCGCATATTAGATTTTTCGGCAGACCACCATTGTTGTTTCACTTATTCACTTGACTACTAATTGTTGATTTAGTGCTGGTGCATCATTAGGATCTTTATTTTTTAGTTATCTATCTTTCCATGGACTGTTTAGGATTTAATTTATTAGTATAATGTATAGATTAAGCTATAACTATAATCAATATATTTATATCAATAATTAGGGACGGACGTAAGATTTTATGTTAAGAGGTTGAATTAAAATTTCAAGGGCGAAAATAGATTTATAATACAAAATACATAGAAAAAAAATTTAAAATATATGATAATTTTAAATTTTCAGGGAGACGATTGCCTCCATCCACTCCTTTGGTCCAACAATTGATTGGTCTAATATAACTAAGATATTAGAACTTTTAAGCAATGTCATGGTTCAAATTAGGTTAGAACGGTCGTACTCGTCTACATAATACTTAAATTAGGTTAGAACTTTTAAACAATTGATTTATTCCAAATTCGTTGCGATAGTCCAAAATCGCAGAAGTTCGCGTTGCGATTTATTCCAAATTCGTTGCGATAGTCCAAAATCGCAACGACGGTATTGCATTTGTTTCTTAAGAATTTTCTCTAAAAAGATAGTATTCGTGCGGACGTGTCGAAGACACGTATTACCACGACCACGACCCGAGACGAGACGAGACGGACGGCGGCGGCGCGCGAGAGTCTCCCTTGTTCTCTATCACTCAACAAGGAAGTGGGAAAGCCAAGCCTTAAATACCATTCCTATTAGTGTTTCCAATACTATGTGGGATTGAGCATTACCAACACTTGTTCCCAATACTTTGTGGGATTGAGCCTTATATAGTGATACTATTTTTGAATGTTTTGCTTAAAATTGCAATAATCGCGATTGATTGTAGATTGACTTTTAATTATGACATATTTAATCGTATAATACTAATGCAATTGGTTGCTGATTCAGTTGTTTTAAGGTGCATGATTGTTAATTGTTTCCTGAATAATCACATTGTATTGGAAACAAGTGTTGGTAATGCTCAATCCCACATAGTATTGAAAACACTATTGGGAATGGTATTTAAGGCTTGGCTTTCCCACTTCCTTGTTGAGTGATAGAGAACAAGGGGGACTCTCGCGCGCCGCCGCCGCCGTCCGTCTCGGGTCATGGTCGTGGTCGTGGTAATACTCGGATTGCGATTTAGTTTGTCATTTTGGAAAATCCAAAAAAAATTGGTTAAAATCGTATATTATAAGGCATTTTTGGTCACTGAGGTTATTTTCTCAACGTAAACTAGTAAGAGGACTGTCGTGGACTCAGTTTTTTGACATCATCATTAGGGTTGTAAATGAGATGAGACAGATCGCGAGTTACTCGAGATCGACTCGATCAAGGCTCGATAAATACTCGGATCGAATGGACTCGACTCGAGTTCATAACGAGCCGAAACGAGCTACTTGATATTCGACTCAAAAAGCTCGTGAGCAGCTCGAAAATATAATATATTAAGATTTTTTTAAGAAAACAATATTAATAATATTAACATTATGTATTGATTTTTTAAAAATACAGTAAGATTTTCATATATTTAAGGTTCATGTTCGAGTTCAAGTTTGAGGCTTCAATTGAGTTAAGTTTAAGATTTTTTTTTTCATTTCGAGCTACTCACGAGCTTCAATTCAAGATTTCGAGTTCGAGTCGAGCTTGAAAATTTTAAGCTCGCAAGTTTTCGAGTCGGGTCGAGCTCCATTTCAGAGTTTTCGAGTCGAGTCGAGCTCAGCAATTCTCGAGCTCGTCTCGGCTCGTTTACACCCCTTCGTCGTCATTGTCTCATATTTCTATAGATTCTGTAATTGTCAAGTAAAAATATATGTTCCTTAAAAGCACCCTTAATTTTTTTCACTAAAAATATTGAATTATATGTTTCATTAAAAAAGTTTGATATTTAAAACAGTACTTGAATTTAGTTTTTTTTTCAGTTTGGTACATTGAACTTTTTTTTGGATCAAATTCATACCTGAATTGAGAGACACTGCCCAATTCCAGTATCAATTTAAATATTAAATTTTAAAATGATGTTTTTTTTTTTCAACTTAAGTGCTCAATAATATTCGACAAGGAAACAAAAATGTACCCCAAAGTGTCGAAAACGTTGGTAGCTTGTCTTGAGAATCTTGTGCATGTGGTAAGTGAGAGTCAAAGCAGACAATTATATAATGAATTAGGTAACTTGCCTGCATTAGTCGACCCTAAGCCTATAGAACAAATATTATAATTCAAATTGATTCAACTATTCATATAGAATTCTATAAAGTAGTATTCACATAGTTTCAAGGTTTAATTTAGTAATTAAGCTTTTTTTTTGTTTAATTAGGTACCTAAATTTAGTTTCAATATTTAATTTGGTTCTTAATCTCATCAGTTTTATTCAAGAAACCAGGTTCATGTACTAATTTAAAAAAGGGAGGCAAGCTTAGGTACATGATTAAACGTTAAAATCAAATCTAAGTATCTGATTGGACGAGAAACGATTTAGGTACAAAATTAAGGCATAATGTCAAAATATATGCATAACATTTGAATAAATAATCACTTTAATTCTTTTTTTTCCACATATAGCGATATGTTGAGTTAATCGATTGACTGAATCGGCTAAGAGGGGGTGAATTGGCAATAAAAATTTTGGTAGAAGCTTTTGCAGAAAATTGAAAGAAATTGCACAGCGATTTAGAGTGGTTCGACTTTATCAACCAAAGTCTACGTCCACTACCTTAGCTATCCACACTAAGGATTTTCCAACAAATTCACTAATTTGTTCTTTCTTTTGAGGCCAAAGAGATAACCTTACAACTCCCTCAAGAATATACCCCAATTCTTGAGAACACTCTTTTCTCAAAGAGAAATACAAATTTGCAAACTTACAAGAAAAACCTCACAAGGCAAATATGTTTGCACAATTCTAGAACAAAGAAATAACACTCAAGAATAAATACAATTGAGCACAATAAGTGTTCTTGAAAGCAAAATGAATATTGAATGAAAAATAGGCTTGAAATGCTCAAACTTGAGGTTTGATGCTTTCTCTTTGATTCTCTCTTGATTCTAATTGCTTGATGTTTCTTGTTGTTGATCAATGGCTTCTAAACTTGTTTAAATACTCCTTGAATCAATTCTGAACGTTAGTGATAATTAGTGGAGTTAATAAAGCCGTTATTGTGTGAAAACAGTTAATTTTTTGGGTGGGAGCGTCTCATGCATCAATGCATGACCATTATGCATCAGTGCACTAGTGTAAAAATTTCAAATATTTTGACCGTTGGACTCCTAGTGCATCCGATGTTTGAAAAATAGCCTGGTGCATCGATGCATGTATTGTGCATCGATGCATCAAATGCATTCGATGTTTTAATTAAATCAGTGTATCGATGCATGGAGAGTGCATCGGTGCATGGAATGCATTCGATGTTTCAATTTATTCATTGATGCATCGATGCATGGTATTGATGCATCGGTGCATGCCTTTGAAAAATTGATTTAAGGCTTGATTTTGGTTTAAAATACTTTGAAAAATTGTTTAAAAAATAGTTTAAGTACAAATCACAATTTTACACATTTAGTAAGGATTAAAATTGATCTTCAAAGACTTGGAGTAATAATTTGATATTCGATAAATTGAATCGAATATAAATTGTAAAATCATTTGTAAAAATCTTAAAATTCATTTAACTTAATTTGTTATATCGAAATATCAAAAATGTTTTTAACAATCTCCCCCTTTTTGATATAACAAAACACTTGGAAAATTTTAAGATTTAGAAAATTATTTTTGAAATCAGCTTTTGAAAAATTACTCCCCCTTACTATGACACACATCTTCTCCCCCTTTTTGTTAAATCAAAAAGACTCTATAAAACGTTTTAAACAAGAATGTTTTGAAAAACTTAAGCCAATTGATTTATTAATTATAAGCTGCTAAGATCACAATCAAAAGAGAGGTTAGCCATTAGTTTCATAAATCAATATTCATATAACATGCAATGGACAATTGGTCATATATGTCTAATGATGCAAAAATAAGAAAATTTAACCAAACCAAATATATATATTAAGTTCAAGCATCCATAAATATAAATATATAAAATAAGTCCAGTCAAAGTATCAAAAACAAAGAAACCAGAAATATCAAAATCAATCCAAGTTTTAATTTTAAGAAAGCATAACAAGAAATACAAATCTACTCCATCGGAGGATCGGGAGGAGAAGGATAATGAGCTCGAACTTCAAGAGTCAGATCATCCATACGATCACGCATCTCCCTCTGAAACTCAGTAATCTGAGACTCCATGGAAGCAAATCGTAGATCAAATGCCTCTAAAACATATCGGAAATAAGGTGGTGTTTGATCTTCTTGCCGAGCGGGTTCCGGTGCATTAGCTGGATCGTCAATATCTTGAAATATCCCTTGAAGCTCGGATCAACATTCGCAACCGGAGGAGGAGGAGGAGCACGAGAAGAACTAGCTCCCGGAGTTTGTTTATTTGGTCGGAAGACCCAAAAACCGGTGCGTTCATCTTGAACCCAATCCGCTTTCTTTAAAGAAGTGAGATTGATTTGATTTTGGAGAGGAATGGGAGTGTTGAGAGAAACGTCTAGACCAAATTTGATAAACATGTTACTA